AAAAAACATGGCTAATCCTTGAGTTTGCACAGGTACTTATTGATCTTTCCATGTGAAGAATGTACTTGCCTTCCCTTCTGCTGCACGAGCAGAAAGTGCAATCTTGAGCCCCAGCCGCCGAACCTTTTTGTTTAGCTTGATAGCATGACTACGTGGCTTTGGGCCGTGCATAGTAGCACCGCCCCTAAACTGTTGACGACCAATAAATAAAACCGTCACACTTTCTTTTCTTTAGCCTACTCCAATACAAAGATAAAAGCAAATCACGGACAGACAAGTGGAACAAACTCACCTGTGGGCCACGCAATGTCCCATGCCTTGCTCGTCCTGTACCCTTCTGCCGCCAAGGCTTCCTTCCGGTCCCACTAACCTCACTTATAGTTTTGGTCGAGTGAGTTCCCTGCGAAAGTTAACACAAACGTCATAGGTTAATACCAGCAAAGGCGCATTACAAATGGACAGCAATCAGACATATATTATAATTAAAAAAGAAAAAGGTAAAGAAAAGACAGAAAGTGGACTTTCGAATTTCAGTTTGAATTGGCAGACAGGTGATGAGGGGGAAAAGGGAGAGAGGAGAGAGAGAGAAAAAGAAAAAAGGAAAAAGAAAGGTGATGAAGTGTTTCTTTTAATGTGAATTGGGCGACAGTAATGAAAATCTGGTACCTGCTGCCGTTTAGCAAGCTGCCATCTTACGACACGATGGATGATATCTTTCCTGATTGGCACGTCAAAAACGTCACCAGCCAATACCATGAAGCCTTTATTTTCATTGTGAAAATTTGTAACAGGAATCACCAAGTCTTGATAGAGACCTACAACATTAAAAGAATAGTGAGCCAAACAGCCCAATATTCTACAGCGACAGTATAAAAAATATGCGTGGTTAAAATGGGAACCACCCTCAACTTTATTTTCATTTCAACTTTCTGACTTTCACAACAGGGAGTTGCTAACTGAAGAAAACATACAATAGACAACGTAGAAATTTTAAAACACTAAGATATACCAACCTAAAGCAAAGACAACAGCAGGCAGCAGATTTAATGGGTTACCATCCCTTCTAACACTAAACTAACAAGTCCCACTAAACTTCTTAGCTAAAATGTCTTTGGCCCAATTCACCTTGCTCAATAACATTTGCGAACTGTATTATACAACCCATGGGAACAGGGTCCATGTTATGTATCAGAAAGCAAAATATATTTACCAGTTTGCATTGCTTAAGCAAATAAGAATAAGTATGACAAAGCAACAAGAAGTTCAATTTTTACTTGACAGTTCCATTACAGAATGTGTTACTCGTGACCACCTTGCTCAATGACATTTGCGAACAGCAGTGGGTTCCCATGGTTAGTATATTGAGGATACAATGTCGATAGTAAAATGAACATGATAATATAGTGCCAAAGACATCATTAAGTAATAATGGTTTATTATTTTTTAAAGCGGAATACACATTATCATTTTTTCAATTAGACTGCTAATGTCTTACTAGATCACAAATTATAGGGTGTTTGAATCAAAGATGCCATTCATTTCTTTAAAGATGTTTTCAAATACACAAAGTTTCACTTGAGACACAAACAAAATGAGCCCAAATTCATAGGACAGAGAAAGTCCTAAATCAAATTATTTAAGAGGTTAAATCTTAAGGACGCTAGTTATGCTGGGGGTCGCCCTCGTTTTCTTAATTTCTTTAACTTTCTGAATTTCGCAACACGGAGTTGCTAACTGAAGAGAAATTATTCAGTAGACAAAGTAGACATCTTACAACAATATGATCTACCAACCTAAAGCAAAGTCAACAGCAGGCTACAGATTTATTCAGTTGCCATCCCGGTACACACTAGTTGCACCAGCTAACTATGCAACATGGAGATAATGTTATCAACATGCACACAAGCCTTTGAAATTTCATTTTTTTTTCCAACACTTCCACAGTTTCCCTCATATCCTCGACTTACGTATAAATATTTTTCAATTTTAAATTTTGAAACAAGGAGCATTAGATCCAATACAGGTTCATTAAATTAATTTCCAAGACACTCAGAGTTAAGTCAGAATCTAGGCCAATGTAACTAGCAAGTCCCACTAAAATACTTAGCTAAAAAATCTGAAAGGTCACAGGACTTGAAGGAAATTTTATAGTATGAACAAAACGCACATGCATGATGCAACAGTATAATGAATGAAAGCTGATAGACAAGGTCCAAGTTATGTATCAGAAGGCTAAATATATATGACAAAATAACAAGCAGCTCAATTGAATATGGCAGTTAGATTACAGAATGTTTTACTGGTGACCACCTTGCTCAACAACATTTGTGACAAGCAGTAGGCCCCATGGTTAGTATAATGAGGATACAAAGTCAAAGTAAGATGAACAAGATAATATAGTCCCAAAGACATCATTAAGTGCCACTGATTTATTAATTTCTTAAGGCAAAATACACGTTTATCATTTACTCAATTAGACTGTTTATGTCTCACTTGATCACAGATTTTGGGGCATTGGAATCAAAGATGCCGGTTGTACCTTCTTAGATGTTTTCAATTCCGCAAAATTTCACTTAGGAGTAAGGACGCATACAAAATGGACCCAAATTTATAGAACAGAGAAAGTTTAGAATCAAATTATTTTCAACAGAAAACTATAAGAGGTAAAATCTTCAGCACTGTACCCATTTCCCTGTCAGGAGCCAGCACATGCTTGGACGACAACAAGTGTGGCGGAAATGTGCCTTCACTTGAATTGGGGGTCAATACAGAAGAGGAATACCTTTGGTAAAAACTAAATGTTGCCTGATCCACATAACAAATTAGTTCGGATTCAATTCCAACTGAAAGAAGGAAAACCAAAAAGAACATAATCCAAACCAAATATACTTTTTTCTTTAATATAATCATGCAATTTCAAATAAAAATCACAAATGAGTATATGATTCTGCATTTGAATCTACCTTTTCTAGTGCTGGAGAACACACCGAATTGAAGTTATACCCATAAGCACAACCACGAAGTCCTGCTTCAAATTTAGAACAAAGTCAGAGATATCACAAAGTTCTTTTTTTCCACAAAATTCAGAAAGATGGCACCCTATGATTACACAACAACTTTAGCCCTTCACTAAAATCAACAAGCTCACAGAAACTAAACAACCCCCCCAAAACCAGAAGGAAATGGAAACTGGAAACATACCCCTCAAACAATGTGACTTTCCAGACAAAGGAAACTGAGAAAATGCCCTACCTTTGCATAGAGAAAATGGTGCGGAGGATTTATTGCAGGAACCAATGGCACGTAGTAACCTTCTTGAAAACAACGAGGCCATCGGATATGCTTCAGCCAACCAGAGAGTGCCAAAATGATACTCCAGCTAAAATCAATGCGAGTTCACATCCTTCATTTCCTCATTCATCAAGATTCAGCTTCAGGAAAAATCAAAAGTGTTAAAAAAAAAAAAGGTCCGATCAGATAGGTAGCAGATAAATCATTTGAAATGAATGCCGCAAGGTAATCAATTCGTTGGTAAACAGGGACGGATCCAGAAATTAAAAGTAGACTGGGCTAGAATTTCAAATACTCATTTTTATAAAAATTACATAATATTTTTTCATCAAATATTTGAACTGATCAACCATTCAAAAATAACAACAAATAAATTATTTACCAAAACCAAAAGTGCAAAATCTAAAAAAAAAATCCACTATAAGGCCATAACAAACAAGATTACAAGAAATGAGAAATCATCCAAATTTCTCTTTTCCTCTACAGAAAATCCCCCGAGCAGTCAAGGACTAAATCATGGATCCTACACACTAATTAAACCTCATTACACCATTTTTTTTCTCCCTTTGCAAGCAAGTGTCACATGAACTTAATAAGACAACTAATCCAACAAAATAGAAAAAAAAATAAAAAAAAAAACTAATCTAACGAAATTAAACTATCTACTCTACAGAAAAAAAAAAGTCAAGAAAACATGTAGTACAAAAAATATAGGCTACAGCAACAGCTATCAGAAATGTAGGAAATAGAAATCAGCACGATTCAAGCATTGTGAAAAATAAAAATACATAATCTAGTCATGAGTAATCTAGGGTTTGTAAAGAATTTTTTTTTTTTTTTTTGGTACCTTCTAAATTGGAGGGCTGAGTGGTGGCTGGTCGTCTTCGATGAGTTGACGCCGGAATTCAGCTGCCGGTGAACGCAATCCGCCGAGCCGCCGAGGTCAGAGGTAGAAAATGCAGAAGTCGAGCGTCGAGCTAGGGAAGAGCCGTGCTCTGTTTTTCTCTTGCGTAAGGTAAGGTTATATTAACTTATTAATTATTATTTGAATAAAGTATAATAAGTTGGAAGTCCATTGGAAGTGCCAGATTTGGGTAGGGAAATTGGGCCTTTGTTTATTATTGTTTTGGTTGGGCTGGGCTAGGTTGAAATAAAAAAAAAATTTGAAGTTAATAGGTGTAAAAAAAAAAAGGGGCCTGGCTTCAGCCCAGCCCAGGCCTATGTTGAATCCGTCCCTGTTAGTAAATCAATATAGGGAAAAATCATCAAACAGATAGACCAATAAGGGAATATGGGTAGAAACGCAGAATCGTAGAAACCCTCCGATAAACCCTTTACCCTCCGATAAACGTAGGCTGCGTTTCTGCCCTGCGGACCCAACCTGGCTCGCGACCTGCGTGGGTCCAGCAGGTTTGGCCCGTGTCCTGGCCCGCCCTGGCCTATACCGGCCTAAAAAACTGATTGCTGCAACCAGTAAACAGATCACTACTGGGAATGGGAGTTTTTAACCTGCTAATGGCTTCCCTTTTGGTTCTGTCAGCTCTTTTCCCATATGTGCAGTCTCCAAGATTGAAGGCAACTTTTAGTTCTTCAAACAGTTAAACAGTCTAAACTCTAAATAGACACATATTAATTCTGATTGTACAAATTCACAACAATTTACTGTGTCAGTGTATAAACTCTATCTTCTAATATGAGTACAGGATGATAAAAAAAAAATAATGTCAATAAACTTACCCCTGAATTACTACAAAACCCTTTAGAGAAAAATAAATACATGTACCTAAGAAACACTAACTAGAAA